GCAGCGGTAAACAGTTTCGGGGATATGACGTCACCCTGTCTTACACCTCTCTGCAATTGGATAGGTTTCGTACTCTGGTTCTGTACTCGGATAGCCATCGTAGCCCTACTGTACAAGCACTTCAACACTTCGATATACCGACAGTCAACTAAGCATCGCTGAAGGGACTACAGCACCGCCCAAATTTCGACGGAATCAAAGGCTTTCTCATAGTCCACATACGCCAGACATAGTGGCAAATTGTACTCCTCGGACTTCTGTACAATTTGCCGAAGGGTATGTATGTGGTCTATGGTGCTAAAGCCTTTTCGGAAACCGGCTTGTTCGGGAGGCTGGATGTCGTCAAGTCTGCGCGCGTGACGATTCGTAATGACTCTCGAAAACAGCACGTAGACGCGGCTCAGAAGGGAAATCGGTCTGTAGTTCTTCAAGAGAGCGTTGTCGCCTTTCTTGAAGAACAAGACCACCGCACTTCTGCTCCACGCCTCCGGTGTAATGCCACCATGGAGGAAGGAATTAAAGAGCTTCTGAAGGACTTCAAGTACCGGTTTTCCACCCGCTTTCAGAAGCTCCGCTGTAATTCCATCCTCGTCTGGGGCCTTGCCGTTTTTAAGGTGCTGGAGAGCCATTCTAATCTCGCTCAGACTGACGTCCGGGATATCATCGGAATAATGTCGGATAAGACTCGCTCTTGGATCGTTACTCACACTTGCGTGCGGCTCCAACGATGACGTGTACAGCTGCCCATAGAACCTCTCAATCTCACTTAAAATCTCAGGTGCCCCGGAAACGATGCTGCCACATTCGGTCTTCAGCTTTGACAGGTGGCTCTTTCTGGCAGACAGATCTCTGGCAAAGACTTTGGAGCCTTGGTTCCGCTCGATCGCTTCTTCAATACGAGCTGTATTGACGTTGTGTAAGTCCCGCCGCATGCATTTGGAGATATGTCTGTTCAGTTGCCTGTATGCTGTCAAATCTGTTGAAGAATGTAGCTTCATCTCCCGTCTAACAGCCATGAGATTAAGAGAGAGTTTTTGTGTTCTTCTGCGGCGAGTCTTGCAGAACTTAGCTCCGACCGCATGGACAGTTTCCACGAGCTTGTCATTCAAATCGTCCACTTCATTGCAGTCTTCTAGGCACTGAAAACGGTTTTGTAACTCGAGCTGAAAGGTTTCGTGACTTTGGATTAGAGCACGAGGGGTCGGAGCGTTGACTTCATTAGACTAGACCTCTCAAACTTAACGTTTAGGTTCAGTGTGCCTCTAACCATTTGGTGATTGCTGCCGGTTTTCACCCTCGCGATCACTGAGACATCACTGAACAGTTGTCGTCTGGTCGTCATAATGAAGTCAATCTCATTTTTTGTCGAACCGTCGGGGCTCGACCAGGTCCACTTCCTGTGGGGCCGCTTCTGGAAGAAAGAGTTCATCATAAGGAGTCCCTCTTTCTCCATGAAGTCGGCCAGCTGCTGGCCCCTTGGGTTCCGTTGCCCTATTCCAAATTTCCCCACTTTCAGCTCACCGTTCTCTCTTGTGCCTAGTTTTGCATTGAAGTCTCCCATTAACACCGTATATTGGGTCTTGGAGGAATGCATGGCTCTAGAGATATCCTCATACATTTCCTCCACCTCCTGATCGGGGTGTTGGTGCGTAAACCTGTATGACCTTCAGCGAATACCGTTTGGTGATTCTGAGTATAAGGTACGCAACCCTCGTCGACACACTCTCAATCTTTACAACGTTGTTAACGAGAGACTTGTGGACGATAAATCCGACACCTCCTTGGGTCAGATGGTCGCCCTCCCGGTAATAGAGCAAGTTGCCGGATTCGAAGATTACCGTTTTCTCCCCCTCTCTTCGGACTTCGGATAATCCTATAATATGCCAGCGTTATTACACTTATTCAAACAAAATGTAAAGGCTTGTTAAAATACTTTTAAATTCCATAGAGTACTGCCAAAAGATATCGTTAAATATTTTAAAACTATTGATGTTAAGAAAACGGCAGATTTATGGGGGATTTCCGTTAAAGTTATTTTATCTATAATAGATATAATAGCACCTTATCTAGCCACTATATTTAATACAAGCGTCGAATCTGGTGTGTTTCCTGATTTAATGAAACATAGTAAAGTCATACCTTTATTTAAATCCTGTAGTACATTAGACTCCACCAATTTTAGATCAATTTCTGTACTATTAACTTTTAGTAAAAATTTTTAAAAAATAATTTTAGATCAGATGTTAAGTTTCTTTAATATTAATAAATTGCTACATAGAAATCAATTCGGTTTTACAAGGGGTCGCTCGATAACTGACGCTGGAGTTGAGCTCATTAAACATATTTTTAGTGCATGGGAGGCTTTAGAGGATGCTTTGGGCATATTTTGTGACCTTTCCAAGGCCTTCGATTGCGTTCACCATGAAAGTACTATGGTGTCAAGAACACAGTGCTTAAACTTATTATTTTATATTTAATTAATAGAATGCAGAAAGTTATTATCAATGGTAAAAGTACTTCCGGCTCACCTGTACTAATGGGTGTCCCTCAGGGCTCGATTCTCGGCCCATTCCTATTTCTAGTGTATATTAATGACTAACCTTCTCTTGTAGAGGATAATCATGATATAGTATTATTTGCTGATGATACTTCCTTGATTTTTAAACTTTAACGTCAATCATTTAAATTTGACGAAGTGAATAATGCTATGTCAAAATTAGTGCATTGGTTTAACGTTAATAATTTACATTTAAACGGAAATAAAACTAAATGTATTAAATTTACAACAACGAATGTTAAAAATCTGAGTTCCAATGTGTTTTTAAATGGGGAAGAACTGAGCCCTGTTAAATCCACTGTTTCTTTTGGCATCACTCTCGACGCAAATCTTTAGTGGGGCCCCCATATATCCAAACTAGCAAGCAGACTAAGTTCTGCAGCCTACGCTGTAAAAAAGATTAGAGGTCTCACTAGTGTCGAGACAGCTAGATTAGTTTATTTCAGTTATTTCCATAGCATATGTCTTATGGGATTTTGCTATGGGGAAATGCGGCTGATTCAGAAACTATTTTTGTTTTACAGAAGAGGGCCATTAGAGCTATTTACAACCTAAAACCGAGACAGTCTCTTAGAGATAAATTTTAAGAAATAAATATATTAACTTTGGCCTCTCAGTATATTTACGAAAATTTAATGTATGTTCACAAAAACAAAGGTAGTTTTAGTAAAAAAAGTGGTATACATTCTGTAAACACTAGGAACAAACACAAGCTAGTGATACCAGTTTCACGACTCCACAGAGTCAGTAATTCATTCTTGGGGCAATGTATACGCTATTACAACAAGGTCCCAGAAAGTGTACAGGCTCTCTCTATTAGCAAGTTTAAATATTTTGTTAAGTTGAAACTGTATAAAAAGGGTTATTATAGTATAAATGAATACATGGTTCATAATAACCCCTGGGATTGAGGTGATCACTCCCAAGCTGTTTCTATAATAATTTTGTACTTATATAGTTTGTACAATCATTGTAAAATTTGCTTTAAAATAAAGTACCGCTGGATTTCTTGGTGGTTCTTCTCAGAACAGAGGTTTTTTTTCGAACCAGTGGTAAAGTAAAAAATGACTTTCAATAAGAATTACACATGTGATCTATATTGAATAAAAAATTATGCTATTCTATTCTATTCATTCTATTCTATTCTACCGATGAAAAGTTATTCCTTGGTATTTGCTAACATTTCTTGAATTATTTGTGCAATATCTAAAACACACCATGGCATATTTTTTTCAATAATTTTTTTATATTATAATCAACATAGCATGTGTCAACTCACTAGCGCCTAGCCAGTGACTGAGTAAAGTGATGCGATATCGCCGCAGTAGTACTTACGTAGTATATAGCTCAATGTGTGGATCCTAATTTTTATGTACCTAGTAAAATGACTATTACATCAAATCAGAAGATTTAATTAAATTTTTTGAGCCTGGTGCTGTTTTAAAAGCGTGAAATATTATCCTCGTATCTGTTTCTTCGTAATGACATGTGTAATCAACTTCTTCAGACTTTATTATGCGATTATGCTCGATAAGAGTAGCAGTGATGTTCAAAAGTATACTTTTTTTACTTTGGAACATCACTGCTACCACTTGGTAACAATAATATAAAACAAAATTCAAAGTGCAAAGCGGCTGCTATGTTGCGTCTTTCTGTCGTCTATTGAATTGTACGAAACAGTACGCTCAATGTTTGTATGCTTGCTCCGATTTTGAAATATTAAAGCCTGGCCTGGCAATAGTAATCCATGAACGATTTTTCGAAGATGACATTATACCATAGCGTTTTCAATGAAATTATCTTTATTTTAATATGTGTATCAATTAGAAAACAGTTTTGTTCAATTACTTGTACCGAGTTCCTGTTTATACATGCTTGCCCGGTAATAGTGAATAGAAAAAGGTAGGCAGTACAACGTTTGCATGCTTGCTATGTTATATCATTTTGATTTCTTTGAGTTCGGTAAACAAGAAAGTGAAACATTTAATTATGTTTTTTTTTAATTAAAGAAAGCTTTGAACATATTTTAATAGCCGGTACAATCGCGATTTGCTTTTTATAGATAATGTTCGATAAAAACACTTTTCATCTAGTAAACAGATGAGTGAAGTACGATCTCTCTTCGGATCTATTTCGGATCTTAGACTATAATCGAAGTAGGTTTACCCGTTCAGGAGCTATGATGCCACAAATAGACACGCAAATGCACAGATACACAATACAAACTTATAACACGCTTCCATTTTAATGGGGGTTAAAAAGAAGACTCATTGTGAAAAAAACAACTAATTTGCGCAAACTTTCCACCATTGAGAATAAAAATATTAGAGAAGAACATAAAAAAAGGTTTTTACAAGTATTAAGAGTATATACCTACTTAGCAAACATTCATTAGTAGCCGGCGAATTTCGTATCATATCAATTCTAATAGGTTGTGTTGTAGGTAGGGAAAAAAGAAGGTTCAACATTAAAAAATACAGCAATTTTGCCGACTGACCTGGATGTCATATATGAGAGCGACGAAACAGAGAAATTCGTAGAAGAAGCAGAACAATCTAGAGTAATGATGGCAGTTTCAAGAGGTAAGGTTTTTTTCTTCTTTAAATTTTTGTAATGCACCATACAATTATTAGGTATGTAATGTCGTTATTTAAGTGCGAAATTTAGAATGGATAAACTGCAGTGAGTTTAAGCGGTAATTTGACTTTCGGCGGATTACTGCTCCTACTTTGCCGCTTAAGCCGCGTCTCCACCAAAGATTTGTTGCCAACACAACAGTTGCCAACACGTGTTGCCAACAAATGTTTATGTAATCACCTAGTGTTGGCAACTAAACTTGAAACAATATCGGAAACCGTGTTTCCATTTTCGGCGGCAACATCAAAAGAATACGCTTGTTGCAAACATTTGTTCCCTCGGTGGAGACGCTTCTAGGAACATTTTGAAACATTTTCGGAAACAAATGTTGTCAACTTTTGTTGATTTGTCAACAGTTGGAAACATAAATGTTGTCAACATTTTTGGTGGAGATTTAGATAGCTATTCAAAGTTTATTTTGATACGTAAAATTTCTGCAATTTTGTGAATAAAATGCTTATGCATATGAAATGGTTGTAGAAGCGATGAAACAAGTTTCTTTATTTTTATTTCGATATAAACCTCAAGTTATTTTGTCTGTACTTTAATATCTGCGCTGCACTGTAAATAAATAAGAAAATAATAAATTTCATTCAATATAGATTACATAAATAACTTATTGAAAGTCATTTTATGTTTTTACCACTTATTAAAAAAAACCTCTGTCCTGGGAAAAACCAGCCAACCCAATGGAACTTTTTAACATTAATTTACAATATATTATTGCTATAAGCTGTCATCAAAATCTCCTAAAAACATCGCAATGTGATGCACCGATGTGTCCATCGGTTCTAAATATAGCCTATGAAATAGAATATGTTCTTTAAAAAGAGAATTCATTTCTAAACTCTTTCATTTAACATTGCTATGCTATTTTGTAAATTCAGCTACTCTCGTCGATTAGACAGACTGACTGAATGACTTAAATTTTCAAAATAGAATAGCAACGTGAATTTAAAGATCTTAGAAATAAGTTACACCTCTTTTAAATAGCATATTTTTTTCTTTACATTAGTCATACATATTTTGATATCAAGGATCATTTCGTACATGCTAACGTTTCATGTATCTTGAACGGTTTTCTTTGAAACTGGAAAAAAACCGCGCCTCGAAACACTTTCTGGAGCGCGGAGACTTACCCGTGGGAGCGGATAAAATTTAACATTGGTTTGCAAAGTACTTATGGCGATAGATAAAAATACTCCATTAATTTTGCCATTTTTTTTTAGCTAAAACAATTGAACTACACCGTATATGTTAGTAAATCGGCATTAAAATTACTATTTCGTGTCTAGTGGTACCGGCGTCGCGAGAATCGGGCTCCGGTTGTTGCTTCACCGGATGATGACGTGGCTTATTTCGAACAGTCAGTATATAGCTACTTCAAGTTATATTTTAATAACTTGATACAAATATATAAAAACACAAAAACTACTTATTTATCTCCGTTGTGACACTTATGCGATTACATCGAAATACGCAAGGATGCAGTGAGAGACATGGTGACAAAAACTCGTCTATTTGCACAAATTTTGGAACCTAGGCGCCCCGTATACGGTTGTTGTGGAAGTTAAGAATCAATATAATAATGCAAAATATTTTTACTACTGCTTATACGTGCATCTTCATTAATATTACACGCTTTATATATTATTTATATGCTGTCACCATAAACAGGTTTGCAGGTGTATTATTTTCAATGTTAATTTTTGTTATTTACATATTGAAAATCCAATAGCCTTCAAAACTATTGGAATACTAAATGCTGCACATTTTATTCATTTATAATAATAATTGTATAGATTTAACATATTCAAATTAAATAATTCTATTTCGTGATGTTTTAGGTCAAGAACTAATGGCATCATATTTTAACCAAATAAAAGATGCAGGTTCCTGTGTCGTAGCGGTAATAAAGATTATAGAATGGAAATTATCAAAAGCTGGATGGTGGGTGGACCAAGATCATCATAGATTGATTCCGTGTTCATGTTCTGTTCATCATCGGTCACCATTGGACGTTTTGAGGTAAAAATTTTGAAAGAAATATATAATCAATATATGTACATATTATAAAAAACTAAAACAAATATTTGCTTTTCAATCTTACGAAGATTTCAACTTCCACCAAGTTTTGTGGATGATTATAATATGGAGAGCCACTCGGAAGGATTTTCATTGCTAAATCGAACATCAACTACTGAGAATATACAAACTCTTCGAAGCAGCTACATTAGAATGTAACTCTATTTGCGGATGTGTGAGTATTTATTGGTCATTTACAAAATAAAAGCCCATTTTTCTTTCATATCTTTAATCATATAATAAATCAAGTGAAAATAATTAACTATTTACAAAATGTATTTAACCATAAACACATTTGAGCAAAATATTTTTTCACCTTCTTCACAACCCGTGTGTGTTCTACCACCATTAATATCGTCATCCTACAATTAATAATAATTTAGTCAGTACTAGTATCACATACACTAATAACTGTAAAAATGTGCGTAATTATTACAGATATAGGTACTAAACATTGTTAATTACGTTTCCGTAAATTAAAAGGCTTTTGTCATCCGTTTGCGTGGTTCCAAGCGAACTTTGAATCCTTCTGCGCGTTTCAAGATGATATCAGCTTGGAGTTTAAAGTCAGATTCTTTGAGGTCAGAAACAACGCGGAAATTCCTTAATATGGTCGATAGGATGATTTTCAATTTAAGCATAGCATATTTACGGCCTGTAACAAAAATAGCATATTAATAACCACACCGATATAGATGTTTTGTTGTATTGTATAGATTAATAATAATATTGAACTTACCAACACAACTTCTTGGGCCAGCGGAGAATGGCACAAAAGCGTAGTAGTGGCGATTAGCAGAGCGTTCTGGTAGGAAGTTATCGGGGTCAAATTTTTCAGGGTTAGGATACACATCAGCGCGACGGTGCAGTTTGTATGTTGCAATTACAATCGTAGCACCAGCGGGCACCTTCTTACCAGATGAGGCTGGAAAAGTACAATAAATAATGTGTTTTTATAAAGTTTTATTCAGTTTCATTTCTTTTTCAGTCCGTAAACATAGTAGGACAAAGTTAATAATAATTAAATTAGTTTATTTCTGATCTAAATCTTTAAAATTTAATAAATTTATACATGATGATATTGTGTGAGTACTATACTATACTATATTACTATACTATATTTTTTTTATAGGATCGGGTGACAAACGAGCACACAGTCCACCTGATGGTAAGTGGTTACTGTGACCCATCGACATCTACATCAATCCTCAATAAAGACTCAAGATGCAGATGCGTTGTCACCCGTGAGGACCAAGATGGAATGCCTCGTTTCCAGTAAAAAGGGTCTCCGGTTCTCTACACTCACTATACGAAACAGCAGCGTTAAGCTGCTATTTTACGCTGGTAGTCTGTGAGAGCGTGGTCCTTCCCCGGCCGAGCCGACCCATTCGTGCTACAACCATAATATAGCTGCAGCATGGCTCTACCACGTAGAAAATATTCAGAACTAGTAGATTTCTCTATCTTAGAAGAAATCTACTGATTGTATTAAGTACACAATACTATATAATTTGATTGAAACCGATCTACCAAATATCATCTTCATCATATTTATTTATGCTTATATCGCCACGCTTCATTGAGACTTTGAATTAAATTGTTTTTATGCACCATTTGTTTTTTCATTAAAATCTTTCCATATCAATAAATTTTTTAATTAACCTTTGTGTTGATAAATAAATCAAGGGTATACGAGTATGAAAATATAAAACTACTTACGAAGTGTAATATCTTGCTTCAGATGACGAGCAATAATTGGCACTGGTGGGAACATTCTGAGAGTTTCCATCAAACATCTTTCAAGGTACTTCATTTCTAAAGTATCCTGGAATGTTGCTGGCCTATCAGAATCACCGAATATCTGGTCGAGTTCTTCAACAACTTTAGCTTGAATATCTTGATGAATTCCCATCATCGAAAGGAAGAAACTGCTTCCAGCGGCAGTAGTGTCGTGACCCTGCATCAAATATTATTAATATGTGTATTAAATTACAAAAAGAAAATTAAGTAAATGTTTTATTAAAAGTTTATTACCTCAAACATAATTGTGTCCACTTGTTCTTTAATTTCTTCATCTGAGATAACGACTCCACTCTGTGAGCTCTCCAAAAGTAAGTCAAGGAAAGCAAGACGTTTCTTTTGTCCAACATCATCATCGACATCTAAATCATCCTTAAGACCGGCTGATTGACCGAAGGAGAGACCCTCAACTGAAGTGGTCTTAGTAGAGCTTTCTTTGGAGGCCTCGGCCTCACTGACTATCGTTGGCTTTTTACCAGTTTTATACTCCTCCTTCTTTCTTGAAATGACCTGTTAACATATTTTTTGTAAAACCAAATCTATGTACAATAAGCAATTAAATCATCACAATAACAATCAATCTATATACATCATACAGTAAAAAAATCCCATTATTATGCCATACCTTCTTTGTTAATCCGTGAATGACATCAAGAAGTTTGTTTTGAATTTTTGCGTATTGGGTGAAGTTGAAGAGCAAGTCAGGTCGCAACCAAATCTTAGTGTGTCTCAAATGGAGAATGTCGCACATTTTCATTACGGCCATCGCATATTCGAAACCGCTTTGGTCTTGAGTACTTTTACTTACACCCATCGCAGTCTCTGTAAATAATATGTGGTTTTTATTAAATCTTAGAAGGGTTACAAGTAATGTAATAATAATTCGCATTTGATAATAAATCGAAAACACTTGTTTTATTTTCCTAAATGATTTTTATAAAATAAAATAGCATTTATTATGTGATGAATAACAATTATTATGTAATTAAAGCTGTGTAGTGGCGGTGTATGGATATGCACTATCCATCATCATCCCATAAGAGGCGACAGAGATCCATCATCATCCCATGGGTGTCGTAAGAGGCGACAGAGAGAAACAAATTAGAAAATGGGCAGTAACGCCTTCCTAATAACGGTCAAAGACAAAATCTGCGGTTGCCAACATGCTTGCCAAGCGTGGCAACTATGGCAAATATTCCCCCTACGATGCAATGTATGGGGCTGTAATGGTAACGGTGGCGATGTGACAAAATCCACTACTTTAATCCTGTTTATGTCGTAAGTTGCAACAGAGGGAAACTTGAACAGGAGATAAGCGGGAGCGTTCCCTGATAACTACACAATAACGTTAAATGAGACTATGCCTGCCAACCCGCCTGCCAAGTGTGGCAGCTATGGAAAAGATTTGAAGAAATCTATGGGGGAGGTCGATGTTCACCATTAGATTTGTGACAGGTTGTAATTAATGGAAAATGCATTAATTATAGAATAATTATTCATGTATAAGCCAAAAATCTCAGGATATAGCAATCATTTAACTCCACTTGCACAAAATTGAATAAAATTTGCTGAAATACGTATAGAGAACCACAATGACATTTGTCAGACAGACCAGTTTCAAATATAAACACGTCGGTTTATGTTGAGTTCCTTTAATGCATACAAAGCGATTCCTTTTTTTATTACGTCTTTGGCGATATCACATTAAGACAGCCGAGGCATAGAATTTAAATTGATGATCACTGAATCCACATCGAAAGTCTTTGGAGGATACATTTATATTTAGATTAGCCTTTAGAAAGATTTATACCTCTTAAAGCGTAGAAATATTGACTATGGACTATTTACACGTGTCGATGTGGGAGGTGGATAAAATTGACGCGAAGGTTGGTTATACAATCTTTCCTTATGTTACACGAACCTCATTACGCTACTGCAGCTATTTACATATTATTTACACAGAATAAAATGTATTATTTATAAAACTATTAATTTAGACGTGTTCTTAGAAGTAAACAACGTGATTTCCATCATAAATTACTAATTGCAGTTAAGCGATTTTGATTTTTAACGCTATTAAAATAATTCAAATAGTTTCAATACTAAGACCAATAATATAACGAAACATCACGCGGATATTTCCTTGTTTGTATAAAAAATGCGTGCATTTTAATTCTCTTGCGCCCTAATAGGTCAACGGTACAAATTATTTCCGTATTTTATAATGGCGTAGTAAAGTTGAATACAACATTGTATTAATTAGGTCGATGTAGAAATAAAACTAATTTTACGGATTTTATTGCGATTAATTTGAATTAGTTTTATCCATTGTGTAATATTCGTGTAAATACAAGAAATCATTTTATCGATGTACTTTATTAAATACTAGCGATCCGCCCCGATTTTCTATCTCAACAACAGCGCCACCTACTGTCTAACTTTGAATCTAAATTATCTAGGGAATTACTCATACACACACAAACACACACAAAAAAATCATCAAAATCGGTCGAGCCGTTTTCGAGTTTTTGCGAGACTAACGCACGGCAATTGATATTTATAACGATGTATTCCTTGACACTGCATAATTGCAGCCTATCAAAGGTTCACTGCTGAATAAGGCCTTTAAAGTCTTTAGCAAATGATGATCCAAAGCTAGTTGCGGATCGATGCCAGCAGTATCATTTCCGAGTTTATCTGAGTTTTATACATATTTGATATATCCCTTAGCGAGTGTGAGTAATGATTTCTTATGTTTACGCGAACATTAAACATTTAAATAAAACTAGCTAATACAACTAATAACCATTCTAATCTCGCTAAAACTGATGTCTAGGTTATATTTGGAATTATATCGGATGATACTTGCTTTTGGGTTACGCACACTCTTAAATAAAACTGGTTTTTAATGGTTGTATCGCGTAACTTATATTGCCGATGTTTCGAGCACTTAACAGCACCGTCCATAAATCATTAATGGACGGTGCGGATTTTTTTTGCGCGGAACCCTAATTCTTTTCCTAAAATAAAAGTAGCCTAAGTTACTACTTATAATATTCGCTATCTGCCAGTGAACATCCCATCCAAATTGGTTCACAGGTTTTTGCGTTATGCGTGTTCAGAAAGATGTCTTATTAGAGTTATAGCATATCTTATATCCATTCTTAGTCGCTTGTACGTGCTGTTTTCGCGAGTTATCACGTATCTTTTTGCACGTATTACTCTACAACTCCAGCCCTATTTTACGAAAAGGTATACTAGGTATACTATAGACTGACAATGTGGATTCTGAGAACGTCCTCGATCCTTGGTTGAGAGTCGGTATATAAACCGATATCGCGTGATAAATAAATTGGTGT